ACTTTTATTTATTTAATTTCGACATTATAAGTGGCTAAATATTTCTATGTTAGGATGACGATGTGGCTAAATAGGGTTTTTAATATTTTGTTCAATTTCAAGACTTCATGCCACTTTAATATGTGTTAATTATTTATTGTGTATTTAATACTTCAAGTGCCTACAAACCATTGATTGATTTAGAAATAGTAATGACATCGAGAGGTGATGTGTGATTCTAACTTGTGCAATAAATAACATAATTATTTTAAGAAATCGTGAGATAATTATATGTTATGCAATCTATATAGAATTTCTGTAGGTTAATGCGTTCTTATATGTGTAAATTTATATAGAGATATTGTAAATTCTAGTATATGAAAAGGAGTAGTGTTACTCAAGAAAGATCACTAGTGACATTTGATTAATTTTATTGTTGATATATTGACACAATAATAAAGTTCGAGCATGCATAAAAAATACATAATCAGTTAGGTATGCAAATGCTCTTACCTTCAAGAGCACCATGATCTATATCATATTTTTTCAAATCACTTTTCTTCACCCAAACTTGCCTGGTGGCAGGAATATTTCCGGTCATCTATGTCATTAATGTGGCCAATTTACTTACCTAATTAGTAAGGAGGTTAATCTGACCAACAAAATCCTGATTCTTATTTCTATTTAAGTTCTCATTTCTATTTCTGTTCAGGAAATGATGACACATATACTTTATGTGTCATAACTCATCACAGTGAAAACAAGTAGGGATAAACCTAGGACCAAAGCTATGTGGATGCTGATGTCAATTCCTAGATCAACGGGTCCTACGATGTTTAGTAGGTCTATGTCTAACAAATCCCTTATCCCTAAGATCGAGGTTAGGCACATGTTTAGGCTGGTCGGTAGCAGGGACAAACGTGGTCTTAGAAGTACTAGCACCGTTTTTCTTAAAACCTAGACCTCCATTATTTCAAGCTAGCTTGCCCATTCCTAAAATGTTATCTAACTTTTCAAAAGGCAAGCAATTGAGACGTAGAATATTTTAGATCGCTCAGAAGGTTCTTAACTTGGATTTCTGAGATCTTTATTTTAGTGGTCAACTTGCTGACTCTACTCGTGGACTTCTCAAGCTCACTGGTGATGTTCTGAACTTGAGTCTCTAAAGTTTCATTCATAGATTTCTCTTCACTCAGGATCAAGGTAGACTCCTTAATATGCACTACTAAC